CAACCATGTTTTCCGCTCAACTGCATTTGAGTCTAATGATAGATCGCCCGGTGCTTTGTCCTGCTGGAAGCTCTTCTGGAAGGACTGGTCTTTTGTTCTAAACGTCCTGCCAGAAGATTATCGCAAGTCCTGCCCGCAGTACGCAATTTGTACGTGTTTGCTTGCTGGTCCTTCCAGCAGTACGGTGACCTTCAAATTTGAACTCATCCTCACCAGAAGTAGTAAACACTTGGTTAGTGTTTATTAAATAAAAAGTCATGTCGTAGAATCATTTTGTTTAACCAGTATTTTACTTTTCTTAATATATTATAAACTTGTTTATCTTCTTTCAACTTAACTAATAGGAACTATAATAAGGAACTTTAAATTAATTACTTTGGTACGTCACTTTGTATTAGAAATTACACCTATCACTGACCCAGGCCCGACAGAAACGAGACATACCTCAGTTTTTTTGTCATGTCTTAATTAGTTAAATTATATATTTTTTATATTCGAAATCTATGTATAACACCAAAATATTACCCTTTGTTTTTGTTCAGGCGCTATACAAAAACTAATACAAAATGCCTATTTATCACCAAAATTGGTAAATGTATGTACCTAAATGTCTATTACAGCTGCTATGGAATGTATCTAGGTGACCTGGAGATACAGCCGGATTATACAGGGTGGTTATACATATGGAACGATAAGTGTTCTCACTCAATTATTTCTAAATTAAACAAGATATCGAAAAAATAGTTACTGATTCTGAAAGTGCTTCACGAGCTCTTTCAAATGGTACCAATAATAGGTTACAGATTATGGAAGCTGGTAACATTGAATTTTTGGATTTTGTAACTTCTCGTTTCCACCCTGTATAATCCGGCTGTATCTCCAGTTCACCTAGATACGTTCCATAGCAGCTGTAATAGACATTTAGGTACATACATTTACCAATTTTGGTGATAAATAGGCATTTTGTATTAGTTTTTGTATAGCGCCTGAACAAAAACAAAGGGTAATATTTTGGTGTTATACATAGATTTCGAATAAAAAAAATATATAATTTAACTAATTAAGACATGACAAAAAAACTGAGGTATGTCTCGTTTCTGTCGGGCCTGGGTCACAAATGACCGTTCTTCTTTGAAATTTGTACAATGTATACTTACGAAACTGTGATCTTTTAATTTTGCGTCCTACCGGAAGTACTTTAAGTCCTGCTGGCAGGACTCCGGGCGATCTATCACTAAATCGCACGTTTGATGTTTCAGAGGCAGTAAGCCTTGTTCGGACTTTTAGAGTCACTCGCTACTAAAAAATAACTAAACTACTCGCTTACTTACCATCACTTACCATCAAATGAGAGATACATGCCAAGACCTTCCTCGTTGTAGATAAAAAAAAACAGTTCGCACTTTGGTCAAGTATAGATTACAAGACGCGATTAGCGTATTTATATGAACTTTCTCGCCTGTCAAAATGGAACAAAATGTATTGGCTCGACTAAACAATTTAGTAACTTACTTGACTAAAATTGTGGTGTTAAGACACCTTTAGCTACTAAATTACTTGACTAGTGCGAACAAGGCTTGTATTAAAATTCCCTCTCACCCATATTGTCATTCATCAAAGGCTGGGATTATTTAATGGCGCACATACGGTATAACCACGGGGTCGGTAAGTGATGCGAAATAATCAGCCCTCGTTTGCATATGCCGACGAGGAAAGTCAGCACAGCACAGATGCGCACTTTCTCGGTCGCCCGCTGAAAGGTCAATCGTAAATAAGATGCGATTGCCAATGGCAGTACAACTGCCGGTATTTTCCGTTATTTTTGGGGTCTGTATCGGGTGATGTGCCTCGATCAAATTCTTTTCATTCTGGCACTTTTGGAACGCAAATCTTTTGCTGTCTTAATTCGGGACAAAGAAAGCCATTGCTCTTTTTACTCAGATCTGTTGGGCCTACAAAATTAGTTAATATTTTGTAAAGGAATTTTTATCTGATGATTGGCCATTTTTGGACTTCAATAAATTTCATAATTCTAGCTAATTTTGTTGCAATACACTCCAAGACATTGAGATGTCACTTCGGTGCCGTGTGTTTTGTATACGGTTCATCAGTAGATATAGTAGATTCTAGAGGAGTTGCAGCTGTGTGTGTGTGTAATAGAGAAGTAGTAATTGAGCTGGTTGTTCTTTCAGAGCTGTACCTTCAGTATTCGCAAGGCATTATTATTACAATAGGCCGGTGACAAAGGACGCATAAAGCTGTAATTTTCCAGAATTGCTGCCGGTATTGTAGGCAAAACATTATGTTTGCTTAAGTGTGTTCGTGCTGCGTACTTCGTACACTACTATTGTTCTAAATGGATTATCAATAGTGACTTCCCGTTTGTCTTTAGCCCTACAGATATAATTTAGTACTTTTTCCAATACTTCTCCTCGATAATTCACTCAAAAATTTGTAGATGTTAGTAAAAATATTACACGTTCTCACAGTTAGCTTATTTCTTTTGAAGTATGTATTTCTGTCCGACTATACTTATTTATGAATTAACATAAAATACTAATATGGGAATGGCCATAAGTTGGAAAAACAACACACGCCTTAAAATAGCACACCGTTGATGATCGGGTCAAGGCCAGGTCAGAAGTTATTGCATTTCCATTATCCAAATAATATATATTTGTTTATTTATCTAAACTATTTATAGAATTCTGGTGGCACGAATATTATTTTGGATATACATACCTACCTATTTGGCAGCGCAGGACCGTTATTGAAATCCTTGGGGGATGCCTTTGTCCAGCAGTGGACCTCATTTGGCTAAAACTATACTTTGCACGTTCGTTCGTTCCAGCCGAAAGACGTCCACTGCTGGACAAAGGCCTCCCCCAAGGATTTCCACAAAAACAAGTCCTGCACCGTCCGCATCCAGGCACCTCCCGCGACCTTCACCAGATCGAAAACGTTACTTATTGAATCTGGGGGCACGGCAGTGCCCCTACCAAGTCGAGCAAAAAAGCGGCACGGCCGTACCATCCTTTTCTCGAAGCAATTCAGGCCATTTTCGACCCCCTGTATCTTCGTTGTGGATAAAACTAGAAGACTGAATTTTCAGTTTCCATGCAGGCATTGTGAAGACACGGTATATTTCAAATTTCATTCAATTTGAACCAGTAGTTTAAGAATTATAACGGGTCAAAGTTTCTTAATTTTGTCACTCACTGACTCACTGACTGACTCACCGATCATCAAAATTCTATGGCACTTCTAGCAGACCTAGAAGCTTCAAATTTGGAATATAAGTAGTGTTTGGTGTATGAATCAAGGAAAAACTAAAATATTTGGGGGCACGGTAGTGCAACCGCTAAGTCAAGCAAAATTTTTCAATTTCGGTCCAGTTTTATAAATTTTTAACTACTTACTTAAACTTACTTAAATAACTTTGTAATACCATATAAATATAAAGGCGCACGGTAGTGTCCCCGCCAAGTCGAGTAAAATTTTTCAATTTCGGTCCAGTTTTCTAGATACATAACTGCTGTCTACAAAATACAAAAAGAAATGAGATCCCATCAAAAACAATACTTGTCAATAAAACCACTGACTTGGTCATCGCACCAAATAATTTAATTTACACGTGTTTTCATGCGATGGCCAAGTCAATATATTTATGTAAAATGTCAAAGATTTCCTGGCCTGGACTTGGTATTACATGGATCTCACAACTTTTTACCGTAGAACAACTGAGTTGCGAGACTTGGTTTTTTTGACAAGTATTGTTTTTGATGGGATGATTTTTACAGTCTATTCATTGTATTATAGACACAATAGAAAGATAATCTGGTGTCGTGTGCGACACCGTATAAGAAAGGTTAAGTTTTGTTACCCATAAAGGAATGATTTTCCTCATTGTAGGTAGTTAGGTATTCGTATTGTGTATGTCGACGATTTAACATAATTGGACAACATCCTAGTTAGTAACAAACGCTTTGGCGTGCCCAATCTCAGTTAGTTCATGTTTTCTATATAAATAAATGACGTAACGGAGAGGAAAATTTCGGCTTTATTCATAATTCACACAGAAACGTGTGCAATGAACGTGGTATCTATTTTTATCATATTAAATGATATCCTGTCGGTATCAACAGTTCGCCTAAAATACTTTGAATCATATTGATCTTTCTGCAATAGTCATAAAAACAACATTAAAAAAAAAACTGATTTAAATATTATTATCCTAATATCGTATTTGAAGAACGCAAAATCTAAGCAGACCTATAAAGTATCTCATTGATAAACGAACTAACTAATGTAAATTAAATTTGCTACAGTTCTATTTACTGAGCGCGTCTGATAAGGCCACACATATTTTGCACCACACGGAGATAGGGAAATGTTATCACACATTGTCATTCAAATATCACTTCAGTGTTCATTCCGTTACAACAGATTTTCGAGTGGCAAAGAAATTTCGTTGACAGATAACCCAGACCTTATGTTTAAAAATCGCTTATGACGTTTGTTCGTGGATCCGCACTTGTAATCATATGACGCCTTATCATCTGTTGACACTTTTCACACGCTCCGCCTTATTGATAGGACTTATCACACTCACCCGATGCATGATACCGTGTGAAATTTCAACAATTTATATTTATTACCATAATATTGATCGGTTGTATTTATGAAAGTCAAACCAGTTGAGTGTTATCGATATTATGTTTTAGTGACTACTTTACATACTAATTTACTACGACTTTGTTAAATCGTAATATTCTTCCAATACTTGTCTTCTTTCGTGAAATCCCGTTAAACGATCGGAAAATTTTAAAATCTTAAACGAAGTTCATTTTTATTACCATTACAGTAATTCCGCGTCATCTCCATTTATCATTATTTGTGAATTATACCATGTCAAACAGGCGGGCCCCAACCATCTTCGGAAATGGATAACGGTATCTCGATTAAACTTGATCTCCTAACCGATGTATCAATTGTTGCAGGCTAGCTGCGAGCGGCCGAGGAGCTCCGCCGGCAGACATGTTGCGACCGGAGTCGCCCCTCGCTGATCACCGCAGCCTGCTGCCCCGGCGACTTCTCCCCGCCAAGGCACAGATCGCCCCTGCGGACAAACGCAAGAACCGCCGCTCATTGGAACTCAACCCCCCCACCACAGATCATGCCACCTACGACTACCCTAAACTCCTCATCTCCAAAACAACAGATTCCCTCAACACCGAGTGCCCGAGGAAACTCATCCACAAACAGGATTCCACTGATAGTCTGAAAAGGGCTCTCCTGTCCAAAGATGAGAAGAAGCCGGCCGATAAGAAGGCCCAGCTCGCGAAACAGGACTCCAGTGAGAGCTTGAAGAAGACGTTACTATGCCGACAGGAGTCCAACGAAAGCGCGAAGCGCAAGGACTCGGAGAAGAAGCCGGGGAATCAGGATGTGAAGAGGGTGTCGGAGGTTAAGAGGGGGAGCGATAAGAAAGGGTTCCTTGAGACTGATTCGGAGGAGCCTTGCAAGAGGATTTATGAGCGGAGGACGGGATGTGCGAGGCCGACGTTGCCCCCCGTTGCGGAGAAGGGGCTGGCGTCCCCGAACTCCCCGAATGGGAGCCCTGGGACGCCGAGCGTGGCAGCTGTCGCCGAAGGCCTGGTCCGGTGGGGCAGCGGCCTCCTCTCTCCCAGAGAAGAACCTAGATTGAAGGCAGCCAGGAGTTGGTACGGCTATGGAACCCTCCCGACAGACGGCGATAAGGTAAGAAGTAATTAATTTCAATAAATTCCAAGTTTCTCGCGAACCAATTTGTAGCACAGTTAAAAGTGAATTGATTAATTTCTCGGTCGTTAGCGTAATGATTGCTTTTGAGCGATTCGTCGTTTGCAATTAGTTTATTTGATTACGTAATTCCACAGGTTTCTGTTTATAAGTTTTAATTGCTCTTGCTGATAGCATGGCGATTAGGTCCTTTCATGTTAGAAAATGTAATCGTGGTGTTGAGTTGAGTTCAATATTAATTAATAATGACGTAATAACATGGGTATTTTTATGTATTCAATATTAATTTACTATAAAATGATCTGAAAAGGGAATCGAGGATTTTAATTACACATTTCCCTATAAGGGCACAATGCACATTTAAAATCCTTGACTTGATTATTTTAATTATATTTAATTTATCACTGGTTTAATGGCATTGTTGTTTATAATAACGAGATTTACAAGTGAACAGTATTCATTATTTTATTGTCATCTATAAAGTAACGTAGATATCTAACCCCCATGATAACGGGTTCACATTTCAATGATTTATTGCATTTTTATGATCTGTGAGTCATAACATTTTGGTTCAAGTACAGTGTATTTGTAACAAATCATCTTTGTGTTGCAACAGTTATTTTTTTCTCGAACGTTCGATTTGTTTATCGCACCTAACACTTGCAAAATGTTTGGCACGAAGCGTTGGCCACCTTTAGAAGGTGCAGACAAGTAAACATCGTGTCCGTATTAATAAGATTATCGCCCGTATTCACAAACATTACTATGAGGTCTCACAGTGCGCGTGGACGCACAGGGTGACACATGAACCAATCACCGCTATGTGTTCGATTTGCTGCTTCACTTAAGCATTGTTTGTGAATACGGGCGTAAAGGCATTTTAAGTGCCATATGTTTTTTAAGTGGGTCCTTAACCTTGCTTTAAAAAAATATTTTCATTTTTGAAGTCAAATTACGGTTGCTATAGTTACAGTTACCGATTGTTTATTAGTACACATAAAACCTTCAAGTAAACTAGAAAGATATACAGCTCATTAGCTTATCCATTTAGATTCTGTTACATCCTCATCAGTGTCAAGTCAACAATACGTGACCTACTGATCTTCAGAAGTCACTGCGCGCTCATTCTATCTGTATGACAGATAAACATGTTCGAGAACTTAAAATAAGTGCCCTAAATACCGTGCCGAGAACTGGGTAACACCATTTAGTCGCAAGCGTTGCTGGGGTAACGCAATTAACTTAAGGGCAGGTACAGTCGATAGAACAGAGTAAGTTTGTTGCAAAATTGCTCTAATTACTGCTGTATAAGATGGCTGTTGTAGCTTGATGTGTTATAAGTTAAAGATTGCTCAGTTATGTTTTGAAAGAAAATTACTGACTAGGTACGAGTACGTTTGGGTTCAGTCAATTATGTTTGCAAACCTGATAACCGGCGAAAATTGAATCCTAAAAAAGGTAATGACTATTTAAATGAACTATAACAGCTTAGCTAGCGTATATTCGAACATATCTTGTACAAATTGTATTCGTTCAATAAACAAGAAGTTGACTTGAGTTTCTTCCGCACCACCTCTTTTCCAATTGCAGGGCTGGCGTATATGTTGAGACGTATAAGTACACTGAAAAGAACCACATTCTCATCATTTCAGCCACGGGACTGCTGAACATAGGCTTTTCTTCCTGCTAACTTTATGGGGCTGTCGGTCCACCTTGTGGGTGGGTGGAAGACTGGACGTCCCACGCTGCGTTTTCCGACACGTGGTCTCCACTCCAAAAGCTTCAGAAGGACACATAATAAGTAACCATTAATTAGACCTTGAAAATCTTATTTACTGAAAAGTGTCTATCAATTTCCAATAGCTCTTCAACTATCAATTTACTGGCAGTTGAATCAGCCAATGAGGAGGCGATGTCTTATCAGCTGGAACCCGGCTGTCTGCGTTATCCTTCAGCCTCCGAGGTGAAAGTGATAAGCTGATAACCTGATGACTTGTTACATCACCGTAACAATAGGATGTGCATTTTTAAAATCAATATTCGGGGGGACTCATTGGTGTTTGATCCAAAAAAGGATTGATTGTAGGTAGTAGGGACTTTTAAACGAAAACAAAAAGCCAGGGGACGAGACACGAAATACGGAGGACAAATTTCGGCGTTGATATTATTTATGAAAAAATTGAATTTATGTAATTTGACTTATAAATAAGACAGTGTTCCTAAGTTATTGTTCTGTATAAAATTAACGATGATGAAGTAATTATTTAATTTTAATACGTTCATAATAACTGGTTTACAAATAAAGTCGGGTTTGTGATAGCCCAGGGGAGAGACGTTTTTCTTGTATTAGAACTTATTGTGACTAAACTGTGTACATTTCTGTAATAAATTTAAGTGAGCATATATGTAGAAGACATTTAGTTTTAAGTAATAAATAGGTTAATTAGGAAATTAGAATAAAAAAAGGTGCTTTTTTGCCCTTGCCATCGAAAGTACCTCTTAACTTAGAATGACCCATTAAAGATTTTTATTGCGTTTCAACTTTCAAGTTTCAAATTGGGGAAAATTAAAATGCTTTTTCCCGTAGAACTTTTGAGAATACGCTCAGGTAGTTCGGGACATTCATTAATTTCTTTTTCATGAAACTTTAAATTAATTTTTTTACCATTGCTCGTCCAACCTTTATAAAAAAGGAGATGAAAATTATACTCTGATATTAAAGGGAGACATAAACAGCAATTAATTCGATTATAACTATTATGTTTTTTTATAGCGAGATCCAATAATTTCCGTGTGACTGGGCTAATACTAATATCATCCCGAGAACCTTCTGTTCCCAGGGTGCGCGAGAAAGTATATCTAGGTCATTCTATGATCAAACGAGAAAATAAACGATAGGCTACTTTTCTAACACTACTAATATTGTTTTTTGTTTCGCTTACCATATATTTTTCATCTCGTAAAACTGTCATAGCAATATCGTAAATATCATTATTTATTACAATCCCAGCCCAAACTGGGCTAATGAAGAAATTAATCAAATATTATGTCCATCTGTCATTCTGTTAATAGTTTTTAACATTATGTTTCACCATAAAACTCATTTATGCTTCTTCATAGTGAAAATTGAGCTTCAAGTAGCACAGGTGTGTCCTAGAATTCGCTTAACTCATCATCGTTTCAAATAACACCACAAACTTGATGTAAACAACCTTATCAAATGGACTGTATGCTTACGTTCCCAAGCGCAACCCGATACAAATATTCGCCAAGCATTCTTGGCGGTTGGCAGCACAGATGCTGTTTGTTCTCAGCAAACAAGTGGCGATTATGGCTTTCTATTAACTCGAACAAAAAACAAAGCGGCCACGGTCCGCGATTATCGTGGCCATTCATCACATCTTCGCGGGTGCTTTTTACGAGTTTTTATCACCACCCGGACACGGAATAGTTCCATTTTCAAATTTTAAATACCCATATTTTTTTCGAATCGAGGAAGCGCTCGGGTACCATCGACGTCAACTGACATTTAGCGACAGTAACTCGCACCAGCAGGTCGTGCGCGTGAGTGCTTCTAGTTTGTGCACGAAAAAGTTCCTAATCGTTGACGAAAAGCAATGGTTTTAGTGAATTTTGTTCATCAGTGCTGTCTTTGTGATTAGTGTAGCCCATGACGTGATGTGATGTGTGATTTGTTGGTGTTGTGTTACTGAATGGATTGACTATGCCTAGTGATATTCGGCCAGCGAGGGTAAATAGTAAATACTTCATATTATTTAGCTATCTTGTAGTATTGAATTTTTCGAATCAGAACAATCAGTTCAAAACTTTAATCAAAAGTATAATTTTTAAATGCGGTTTGAATGTATTGTTTGTTTTGACTAAAGATAACGCTCGCCACCTGTTCTTAACCTGTAGGTGTGGACGTGTGGTGCATTTTTATGTAAGCGATAATTTTAACCGCCGTAAGACCTTGATGTGTGTATATGAATTGATATAACACTATTACTACGCTACGGTATCGAATACATGCCAATTTTGTCATACATTGTCTATGAATCTTCAATAAATTATCTACATAATTGATAGCGAGAACAAAAGTCAATGTAGAAAGAATTTTAAAAGATCAACAATTTTCGTGTGCCCTTCTCTAGCTTGTACAGCATATAAAAATGTAAAATACGAATAATTATGAGACTTTATTCATTCAGAATAGGTAAAATAAATTCCAATATCAAATAACCGTGGGTATAATTAAATGTGCCGCTTGTAACCTTATACGGATTTCGCGTGTCACCCACGAAAAGGGAGCGAGGTTAGGCGCAGTTTGAAAGAATCGCTTTCATGACATTGCTTTGGCACGTCTGAAAACAATTTAATTTCAGTCGTGATGTCATTTTTATAGCATTGTCAAATTCAAATTCTTTATTAGTATGTTGGCCCTTTTCGAGGCACATTTACATGTCTCAAATATAGCTTGACCTTCGGGACAACATTATCGGCTGGTGCTCAGACAGGAAATACTTTTTACAATTAGGATTATAATACCAGCTAGGCAGGTAAGGTCCATGCACTCTTGTCATTTGACTTCATTTGAGTAGTCATTCCCTCAAATACTAATTACCCTTTTTCATAAGGACATTGACATTACTTGGTGGGTCACCAATTTAGACTGTTACAAAAATTTAAACGGGTGATATTTAATATGGAAATGTCATTTTAAACTCGTGTTTAACAGTTTAAGTTTTTTTGTAATAACACTCATGTTTTTGACTCAAAATTCACAGTTTTTATTTGCATTGAATAGTTACGGTACATTTTGCAATTAAGTTCTAATATTATTTACAGTTCTACTGTTCCGTATTACATTTTCAGTGTTCAAAACTTTGCATAGAAACCCATTGACACTGGATGCTAAATACATATTTATGAACCATTCTTTAAGTTTACGCGTCATTTCAATTGTTAATCATATTTAA